AAAAACACATAAAATCCAAATAGGCCTTAAAAGTCAAATAGTCCTTAAACCTCTAAATGGTCCTTAAAAGCTAAATAGGCCTTATTTTTAAGGACCGTTTGGACGTTTTGCAACTTTTAAGGACTATTTGGTCTTCAAGGTTAGGTTTCGCTCGGTTTTCAAAGCGAAAACGCGGGTCCAGGCGGTCCAAGTCTAGTTAACTTCAGGCGAAGATTGGATGGTTCCCTCACCCTTGAAACACTCCCCTCCCAACTTTGGCCCAACAAAGTTTGAAAGGGGCGCTCAGTGTAATGGTGGGGAATGACTCTGACAACCCTGTCGAAGCCACGAGAATCGCGAATCTTTGGTGCATCATAAGACCACTTCTTCCAAAAATAGAATTTAGGCAGGTGTGGGCTGAGAGATTTTTGATGATGGGCGCCTGAACCAGGTGACTGATATCTCCGTGTTGCTTTGGTGAAATCTGCGTTGGACCAACCCCTTGTTCGAGCAGGCAACCGCAGTGCTAAGCAACTTCTTGGTCCGAACGCAGACAAGGATCCGTACTTTTCGCTCGCCTTGAAGTTGGTCAAGTGGCGGGCGGCAATGTCCTGGTATTGCTCCTCGTTCTTCTCGGGGTGGGCCAAAAGGGCCGGAAACGCAAAGTCCCACCACCAGTACTGCACGGGCCAAGTCAAGGTCGACACTGTGTTTGGGGTCAGGGGCTTTAGCTCCAACTTTTGGTGGTTTTGCAAACCCTGGCCAACAACTCTGGAAAGAACTGGCGCGAAGCAAAAATGCATGCACATCAAAAAAAGGGCGCGCGCGCCTCGCCGCTGCTCTCGCAATCCTTTGCCATGCAAGGACGGATGTCCTTGTTGTAGACCCTCTTCAGCACGTGGAACCGAGCCAAGGCCGGGCCTGTCTTGGGCGGGCGCCGACCGGCGAAAGAGAGCCTCTCGCTGCCCCCGCCACGCCCGCCGCGCTTTTCTCGCTTGCCAGCCTCCTTGTCCGCAGGAGCCTCCTTGACCTCGGGCTTCGGCTTGCTCTTGCATGCGAGCTTCGGTGAGGTGGCAGCCTTCGCCTTGGCAGCTCTTTTCTTGGAACAGGCAGCCTTCTGCTTCGGGGCGGACTTCGCCTTGGCCCGAGTCTTGCGAGACTTCTCATCATCCCCATGTTCACTGGCGCTACTGGCAACTACCTGCAAGTCTTGGTCCAGCTTCCGGGGCTGCAGGAGCGAGCCTTCATTGCCAGGAGTTCTTGGGCTGTCCTGCCCTGCTTCGCCCTTGGCCTTCTTGCTGGGCGAGTTTTCAACCGTGGCCTGCTTGTTGGCTTGTCGCTTGCCTTTGCGCCCTCGCCCTGCCGGAGACATCGCCTTCCTGCCGCCGCCGCGCCCGCGGCCTCGCCCACGCCCCGGTTCTTTGGCTTCCGTAGAAGTTGTAGCAACTCGGTCCTTCGTGTCCAAGTACTTCTTCAAGGCCTGCTGCTCGTCTCTGCGGACCATTGGAGCTTGCAGCTCCTGCTCCTCCTCGTCCTTTAAGGTCGCCTGCTCGGGCGCAGCATCTCCCGACTCCTTGCCCTCGTTGCTGACTTGGCGGGGCACGGCGTCTTCCGACTCCTCGCCCTCGTTGCTCAGCGCCGCCTGCGGGGAAGCTCCCGACTCCTTGCCCTCGTTGCTCACTGCTTGGCCTGGCACCACCTGCGTGGCATCTCCCGACTCCTTGCCCTCGTTGCTCACTGCTTGGCCTGGCACCACCTGCGTGGCATCTCCCGACTCCTTGCCCTCGTTGCTCACTGCTTGGCCTGGCACCACCTGCGTGGCATCTCCCGACTCCTTGCCCTCGTTGCTCACTGCTTGGCCTGGCACCACCTGCGTGGCATCTCCCGACTCCTTGCCCTCGTTGCTCACTGCGTGGCCTGGCACCACCTGCGCGGCATCTCCCGGCTCCTTGCCCGCGTTGCTCACTGCTGCATCTGGCGCCTCCGCCTGGGTGATTACCTCACCCTGTTCGCTGCCGCCCCTCTCATTGTCAAGGCACTCCCCCAAAAGCAAGGTCCGCGCCTTCATGAGGTCCGTGGGTGAGGGTGGGCCAGCATCCTTGCTGGCTGAGGCCGGCTCTGCGTCTGCCAGGGTGCTAGTGTCCATAGGAAGGGTGTCCATGTTGTCCATGCCTAAGGCACATTGCTTGGGGAAGCCAAGGGGCCAACCTAAAAGGAAAACAGTTTCGCACAACAAGGGCGATCTAAAAGATTTGATGGGTGCTGATGGCTGGCAGCCGGAAACCGCCGGCGTCTCAGGCTTGGACTTCGTGGAGCGCTTCTGGGTGAGCATCAGCCTCAGCCGAAGGCCCTACATGTTTTTGCAGGGTCTCGGGCGATGACAATCTATCGATTACCTCCTTAACGTTTTAGGAAAGGAACCGGAGAAACGTAGCCCTTGCTACCGCTGCTTCTCTTGCTGCAGAGTCATCTCGGCGCAGCGCGGGGTTTAGCTCCACATTGGGAATTGTGGGGCTGTTAGCGGCAGGGGCGGCAGCAGAAGGAGGGACATGCGAAGAAGCGGGAACCTCTTCGACTGCTGCCTCAGGATCAGGATACTCATCCTTGACCACAGAAGCAGGCTCGTCCTCCGAGTCGTCAGCCTGGTCTCCCTGAGCCTCCACCCAATGCAAGCCCATGATGCCAAAGAAGCCCTCGAGCTCTGGGGCCTGAGTAGGCATGAATACGTTGTTTTTTTAGGGAAATTAATGAGTGGACCACAAAAGTAAAACTTGCTACCGCAGACCGAAGAACCCTCGTGGTTGTGACTGTGGAGCAAAATCGCCGGACTCCCCTGCTGAACAGCGCCTTTAGACCGGACGCATCCAGATGCACGTTGGCTATGCCCAGGTCCTTCCCCAGCATTTTTCTGAAGTCACTCACCTAGCGGGCAAGCCAGCCAACCAACAAACCGACCAACCAACCAACCAACCAACCAACCAACCAGCCAGCCAGCCAACCAATCAGCCAGCCAGCCAGCCAACCAACCGTACCCAACCGACCGACCGCGACCAACCGAGCAAGCGAGCAAGCGAGCAAGCAAGCAAGCAAGCAAGCAAGCAAGGAAGCATGCAAGCAAGCAAGCAAGCAAGCAAGCAAGCAAGCAAGCAAGCAAGCAAGCAAGCAAGCAAGCAAGCAAGCAAGCAAGCAAGCAAGCAAGCAAGCAAGCAAGCAAGCAAGCAAGCAAGCAAGCAGCCAGCCAGCAAGCAAGCAAGCAAGCCAGCCAGCCAACCAGCCAGCCAGCCAGCCAGCGAGCAAGCAAGCAAGCAAGCAAGCAACCACCCGACCGACCAACCAGTCAGCAGCCAGCCAGGAACCAAGCAAGCAGCCCACCAGGCAAGAAAGCAAGCAAGGCAGGCAGGCAGGCAGGCAGGCAAACAAGCAAGCAACCAACCGTCCAACTACAACCAACCAACCAGCCAGCCCACCAGCCCGCCAACCAATAAACCAACCAGCAACAAACCAGCCAGCCAGCCAGCCAACCAACCCACCAACCAACCAACCAAACCAACCAACCACACAAGCAGCCAGCCAGCCACAAGCAAAGTTGACACACGCAGCAAACGCACATGCTCACACGCGCACACAGACAAGCAAACGCTTGTGAAACAACATGCTCAAAATAACAACGCACGGAGCAGCGTGCAAGCAACCAGTTTGGAAAGAACCTGCCCAATCTAACCCCAATTGTTGATTTCAAATCCCAGCCTCCTCCCGCATGATCCCTATTGGAATTGTCTTGGGGTAGGCCATGGCTGGGCACCACACGCGGGCCATGGCCTCCAGAGCGACCACGTTTAAGCACATGGCCTTCACCGAGAGCACCCCTACTGCTTCTTGCCTTATCCAGCGGGCCATGTATGGCGCTGCAGTCTCTTGGACACGCTGCCGCAGAGAGGGCTCGCCCTCCCATGCGGTAGCAAGCGCCCCTCTGGCGAAAGGGCGGGGATTCTCTGCCATGCTGACGGCAGCCCCCCGAAGCAAACCGAGTAAGCCGAGTATAGCTTGACCAAAACAGCTCAACACGGTGCGTAGCTACGCATGTGTCACGGCCTTGCTCAGTCCCACCCGCAATCTGCTTGCGGCCCTGAGCAAAGCAGGGTCACTTGGCCGTCCGATGTCAGGCACCGACATGGAGAATGGCGGCGGTGCGCGTCTCACCGATGCCGGGGCATTGCTCTGATGAAGGGGAACTAGTCGGATATGTTTCAAATGGGACCCCCAAAACAACAGGATTGATTTCCTTTGGGTTCCCTTTGAACACCCCTCCCCTAAAAAATGATAAGCAAAAACAACAAAAGAAAAAAGGTACCCTCAAACTCAGGCACACAATTGAACTCACCAACTTGGTGCTCCGCCGTCTAGAGCAAAGGTTGCAAGAGTTTGTGCAGTTAGTTGGGGGTGGTGTGCCAATGTTGCCCCGCTCGAGAGAAAAAAGGACCGTGGCGAGGGCTGGGGCAGGGCATCACAGAGCGGCATTTGCCGACAAAGCACCTGGCGGCAAAGGACGCATGCCCAGAGATTCAGCAATCCTCTCAATACCCACAAGATCCCACAGAAAGCATGAAAAAGGCCGTAGGCAAAAATGATGTGTTCGTGCCCCAAAAGGCGATTCGTAACGAAAAGGCTGAAATTTTGAGCATGTAGGAAGGTCCAGGTATATATATATATACATATATATATACATATATATATATATGTGCTGTGTATATAATATATGCTATACAATGAACAGTAGGAGCAGCCGCAGCAGCAGCAGCCGCCGCCACGAAATTGGCACTCTCCCCCCTCCCTCCCACTGCAGGGACAGCCAAACCCACAGGACCCCCGAAGCTTCCCGCACATAGGCGGCCTTTTGGAAAAATAGATGGGCTTCCCTGGCAAATGGTTTATAAACCAACCATCTAAACCAGGAATCGCCCTCTATTTTTGTTCAGCAAACCAATCAAAAAGCACCCCGAAGCTTCCCGCCTTGACCCCGCCTCACCCTGACCGGCCACGCTCAGCACCTCCGGCAAAGTGGCGCAGGCGCTCAACCTCAAGGCTGGAGCTTGAACAGTTCCGGGGTTGCACACTTCCATTTGCTCAAGCCCCCCGGAAACATGATGTTCTTAAGCAAATGGAAGTACACACTGTGGGGCTACCCATTGGTTTAAACATGTTTAAACCATTGGTTATGTTATGATGATGATTTCTTGTGAAGGTGGTGTTTAAACCATATTTTGCCCCACCCGGTTGCACGCCCTCAGGTCATGCCCCTCCGAAAAGAGGGAATGCAGGAGGAGGGTGTTGTCCGGTGTTGTCCTTGCCAGGAGGGTGTTGTCCTTGCAGGAGGGAACACTTCCGGGGTTGCACGCCCGGGGTTGGTCATGCCCCTCCGAAAAGACGGAATATGGGAGAAGGGAGTTTTGTCCTCGCAGTCCTAAATGGGGAGTAGAATGGGGTCTGCATGTGTTGCCGGTCCCTCGTGCAGGTGTGAGGGCAGAATGCAGCAGACAGCAAATACCACTTTGGCTCCTTGCAGGATGATCCTTTTTGCTAGCATCGCACGATTGGGGGCATTTGAAATCCCGGGACATATGTTTTCTATGAGGATCAATTATGATACTGGATGTCACCAGTCCCGAAAACAGGGTTGCCCCAATGAAAGGAAGGCTTCAAGGGTAAGGTTGCAAGCCGGGTGAGAACTTCGAAATTTTCGGGCACCGAGCGCGACGGACCCTCTCACCAACATGGAAGTGCACAAAGCCACTTTTCAAGCAGTCATTGCTCAAGGTTCCTGAAAGTGAGGAAAAGATTCAGCAAGCTCTTGGTGAAAGGGCTCAAACCATCAACCGTGAAAGTCGTATCGTATTTCCTTGACTAAGTTGTCGATGAACATTAGCCAATGAATGCATTACAAACCATTACAGCACTAGTGGCCATTAGTTATTGTCAAATCCCTATGAACCACATATTTGTACCTCCTGCTGTAGATGGCCAGAAGCAAACCAAGAGATCCCTGCAGACCTGTTGACCAAGCATCTCAGCGGATGTCACATGGGAATCTGGAAAAACCAAACAATTGCCCATCCTCGTTTGCCTTGCGCTTGGGGAAAAATGGTTGTCCACACATGCCGACATGTCCAAGCGTCCAAAGGCCGAGGCACATCCGCGGCAGTTTCTTGAGAAGCGATCTGCGGATGACAATACCCAAGTTCTCATCCGCCATCGGGGTCATCGTCTCGTTGAGAGGCACCTGCAATTACAATCACGGAAGTGGGTCGATCAGAGGATGTTCCACAACTTCCATGATGTGTTGGAAAAAGAGTGCGGGGAGAAGTAGTTCTTGCTGTTGCTGCCGTTGCTGCCGTTGCTGCCGTTGCTGCCGTTGCTGCCGTTGCTGCCGTTGCTGCCGCTCACGCAATGATAGTTGCTGACATTTGTTCGGCGGCTGCTTCAGACTGGTCGATAGTGGGACCCCCTCAACCAGCCTTCGTACACAAGAATCATAGACCAGGCCTTTCGGACCAGACCCCAGCAGAACAATTGTTGGTTCGCAGCCCGAAGCCCTTCCACCAGTGACAGGCTCATAACTATCTCTAAACTTCAAATGTTCAAGATGACGGCTGTATCTGATTATCTGGAGGATCAAGTGAAGACTTCTTTGTGCTTAAAAGCCATGGCTCATTGACCAAGCACCAGAACCATTGCCATGTCCCGACTTGGAGATGCTCCCATGCAACAGCCCGCGCCAAGGCCGCTGGATCCAAGGCTTGCACGCAGCAAGGCCAATGGAGATTCCTTGCTGCGAAAAGTAGGGAATGAGAAATGGAATGAACCCAGGCTTTGATCCCCGAGTAAAGGAGTAAAGGAATCTGAATGAAGAAATTTAAAGTGGCCATGGTGGACTTAATCAACCAACAACAAACTCAAGTGGTTTTTTAAATCTCTTTGGGCAACACCTGGAATAACCCCCAGAAATTCCCCCCCACCCCCCGCGCCTTTGCAACACCCAGGTACGTCAGCGATGGGTCGGTGGACAAACACCGCAGGCGATATCTGGCCCGATATCCGGCCGATATCCCAGATACCCCTTGCGAACGCCCGGATGGTGTCCCCACCAAACTGGGCTGTTTACCCAGGGAGTTTCATCTTAAGGGCAACCATTCGGACGGTTGAATATTGAACACTGGTGGATTGCCAAATCGGCAAACGAAAACAAACAGCACACACTGCCCCATGGCACGGGCGTTCATGTCCGGCTTGTGCTGGCATGGTTCCATGGTTGTCCGCATGCGTTTGTCTTGTGTGGTTGCACGTGCATGATCTGTTAAGCTTGACGTACTGAGTAAGACGCAGAGCCCGGTGCGATTTTATTGAAATTCACTAGCATTCTAGGTTCGTGCTAGTTCCATGCTTGCAAGTGTCATCCCAAGGCAACATCGCTGTGCATGTTTTCGGGGCGCAAGCTGAGAACAACGCTCAAGTCGGTTTCGGGGTTGCAAACTGTAAACAACTCTGAGTGCGCTCTGGAGCGATGTTCACACTTTCGGCAAGATACCGAAACCAACACGCTGACAACGGGCAGCGTGCAATCCGGAAGCGCCAATCTTGCCACTCGGGGGAGCCGTTGATATTTCAAGTTCGATTAAGAACACCCCTGTTATTCTCTTTTTCTGTGAAAAAAAAAAAAAAAAAAAAACGAGGTACGATCGCTCGCTGCAGGCATAATTTGGGGGCTTGCCCCTCTCCAAATCCCAGCTGACCCCGTGAACGACTCGGCCTCAGATTCTCCAGGTGAAGATACGACGAGCTTGGGACCTTCACGGCAGAAAAAACAGGCGGTCCAGGGGGGGGGGGGATCTTGCTGACCGCGCGCACTAGCATTTGCCCAGTTCAACATTGAGGCCTGTGAAAGGTCGTGAAAAGGTGCAACCATGGAGAGGAAGTGGGAATCGAAACCAACTCAATAATTCGCCTGGCAACAGCTCAATCAGGGGCTCTGCGTGTGCAGTTGCAGCTTGCCAAAGGCGACGCTCTTTCTGCATGCCGCGCGCGGAGCTCCTCGCTCCGTCGGAAACCTGCGGTTCGGTGGTTTCCGCGTCCGCGTCTGGCGCTTAGGACGCCTCGACGTCGACCTCCTCGCCCTTGGCATCCTTGTCCATGTACTCCTTGCAGGTGTTCTTTTTTGAAAAATCGACGGGTTCCCTTTGTACATGGCAGAACCCCCACCTAAACCAGTGGCTTGCCCATCTATTTTCGATCAAACCAACCGATCAAAAGGACACCTATGGACTCCTTGCGGTGGGTGAAGCGGAAGATGCCTGCGGCGCAGAGTCCGCCAAGGAGCTCGCAGGTCAGCAGCGCCAGCCAGTTGAGCAGTGGGCCCATGCCTCCCTTGCCAGGGTTCACCACGTTGCCTCAGTTCAGTGACCCTACTGGAACCCTTTTTGGGGCTTCGACCATTTTACGCGGGGCCACACAAAAAAAAAGAAAAAGAACATTTTAGTGGGGCAGCCACCAAAAGAAAGGAAAAAGGAAAAGGGTGCCACTGAACTGAGTTGCCCAGCACCAGGCCCAGCACCACCGCGGGGTTCAGCTCCCCGCCGGACACGGCGCCCACCGCGAAGCTGCCGCCCATCAGAGCGAAGCCGATGACCAGCCCGACCACGTGCCTTGGCGGGTCCCTGACCGTGGCGACGGAAAGCACCGCGTACGCCAGGACGGAGGTGGTGATGAACTCGGCAATGGCTGCCTCAGGCGAGCACACCCAAAGTGAACCCGTTCAAAGCCAGAACTGAAACAAACTCCGTCCCCTTTCTTTGGCCTTCTAGGGCATAATCCGCCCTGACTCAAACAGACCAAAACTCCAACTCCCTGAACGCCAAGTGGTTCTTCGAACCAGGTTCCCGATTCCCGGCCTGCGAGGTCTCATAGCCTTTGCCGGGCACCAGCTTGATGGACTTGTCTGCCACTCCGGAGCCCAGGTGGTAGAAGGCATAGACCAGGCCAGCCAGCAGCCCGCCTGCAAAAAAGAGCTTAGAACCCGAGGGTTCCTCCGATGTTCCGGTTTGTTTCCCCGAGCAACCCCCCAAAAAAGCGACCAAACAAATGCGACCAAAAACAAAGGCGACCCAACATTGGGCTCAAAAAAATGGTTTCAACATGGTGGTCCCCTAGCGGATTCCACGGTTCGCCCCCTCAAAGGTTGGCGTGTCCCATGGTCGAAATGGCCATGGGTCAAAACCCCGTTACCCCCAAGTGGACATCCCAATCCCCGCTAAAATAGGTTCCAAAATGGGTGGTGAGTTCACCTACCCACCAAAATGGGATCAACCAAAACGATTTTGACAACCACAGCCAAATGGGCTGGGGGGAGCCAGGGTTCCACTTTTTGACTACGTCAGGGTAGACTTAAACCAAGGGGCGGTCCATTACCCCCAAAAACAGAACCCCTGGGTTTAAGTCTCTCTTGAAACAGTCAAAAAGCGGGGAACCCTGGGGAAAACAACAGTCAAAAGCAAAACCCAAAGGCAAACATCAATTCGGGGGGCCAAATTGGGGGGCGGAAGGACGACAGCTCTCCCCGCAGTCTCCCCGCCTGCCAGCTGCGCGCCCACGTACTTCGCCGCGTCCGGGCGGCTGATCTTCGCCCGGCCGGCGGCGAGCACCGCCAGGGTCACCGCGGGGTTGAAGTGGCCGCCGGAGATGTCGCCCACGGAGCAGATCATGCCTCAGGTCAGTTCTCGTGCTCTGCTCAAAAAGATGTACAGATGCCTCAGATCTTCCCAACTTAGTAAGTGGGTAGCAAGCCTGGTTATGACCAGCTTGCCATGGTTATAAGTCTCCTAAGTGGGTTTTTGCCAGGCCTTCTAACGTGGCACCTGAGAGGAGTTTGATCTTCCACCCTCCCGCAAATGCCATCTTAGTTGGAGGGAGGGTACTTAAATGGTACCTTAGGCCAATGGAGCCAATGACTAAACCCTGCGAAACCCTAGGTTTTTAATTTCGAGCCACGCCCAAGTGCTTCGGGGCGTGATCAGAAGGACCGGGGATGTGGTTGGAAAGCCACACAAAAGATATGGACGTATCAACCACTAAATGGGACAAGCTATCCACGGTCATTTTCGGACCAGGAATATTGATCAACCCAAGTGGTTTCGTTTGGTGGTTTAGAGGTTTTCCGTTTTCTTTCTCGCATTTACCCTCTCAAGAACCGGGGATTCAAGTCCCCAAACCAATCCAAACCACCAATTTGGGGGAAGCTGATGAGAAGCGCTGGCTTTTGATAAAGTGGATGCTTTGATTGATTATATATGTTGTGGTAATTACGGCGGTGCTTTTCTGGCCGCCAATTATTTTCTATCTTTGTGGCTGATATTAAAGTGGGCTTCCCGTGGAGAAAATCCGAGTCTCCCTCCGAAAACGACAAAACGCCATCCACTTTTGGGTCTGGGCTGCACATCAAGACCCCTGCGGCAGAGTAGGCAGTAGCCCTTGATCCCGAGATGATGTTCAGACCCACCGTGAGCACCAGCAAGAAGGTGCCGCAGAACTCCGCCAGGCACCGCACCTTGTAGTCATAAACTCAAAACACGGTATCAAAAATTCTCGTAATCCCAGAACCATGCTTCAAGAATTATGAAGACGGAGATCCGCAGCTGCTTGTGGCAAGGGGATCGTCCCTTACTAACCTTCACCTACCCGAATCGGTTTTGATTGTTCCTCACTTGGCGATTCGGCTTCAGGTTGAGAAAAAATGGTTGGGAGTTGGGTGTCGTGTCCAGTTCGGTACCTTTTTTAGGTTGGGTTCAAGGGAAACCAAAAAGGAAAGACAAAATGTCTTGATTTTGGCTCGCCTTGTAGTCCGGCTCCGCCGGCTCCGCCTCCCCCTCCGTGGCAAACTCGTGGCTGCGCAGCACCCGGAACAACGCTGCGCCCATGGTGGCGCCGGCGAGTTCCGCGGCAAACCAGGTCAAGGCCCAGTGGGGGTCCTGGAACCACTGGAGTTCCCCTAAAGTATGGATTGGCGGCTATGGACAAATGAGCTATATATATATATGTATGTATGTGTGTATATATGTATATATGTGGAAGGCTTCTTTCCCCATTCAGAACCCAGGCATCCGAGTCTTTCTAGAAAACCACCGAACACCCTGGTTGGAAATGGCGATTGGTTTTTGAAAAGAACGATGGCCGAAAAGAATGAGAAATCAACCCCTAGAAAAGCGGATGAACTCCCTGGTGGTTTCCCGTGCAACCATCGCCACTTGACCCCTCTGCAAAAAGTGCTTGACTTGTTGTGGGTCCATTTTTTAACCAAAAAAGGGTCAAAGTCCACACAGATCCGCATCCAAATGGCAAATCAACTTTTTCCCCAAAAAAGTGTTAAAGTCCAAAGATCCGTTACCAAATGGGTCAAAATCATAGCACCAGGTTAAATCGTCCTTGCTTCCTTTCCCATCCCGTTTTGGGGTTACCCTTGTGACCCACAATATGTTTATGTTAAAGTCCTTTACCAAGTCGCCATAGGAGCCATTTTCCGACCACCCGACCCCCCGACCCCCAAACCCCCGTCCTTGCCGCTGCCCAGGCCCAGCGTCACCGCCACCGCCGGGTTCAGCGCCGCCCCGCTGATGTGGCCGCAGGCGAAGCCGCCCGCCAGCGCCGCGAAGCCAATGGCGAGCCCGAAGAACTGGTTGGGCTCGCCGGGCGGGTTGTTCCTCGATCAAAAACGCAGAGTGTGTGTGTGTGTGTGTGTTTTTTTGTGGGCGCCAGTTTCTGTGATGCCAAGGAATCCCTCCTCAGAATGTGGGCCAGTTTCTGTGATGCCAAGGAATCCCTCAGAGGGGTCGCTGTGGAGAAATTTTGGGTTTTAGGGCCAGTTTGTGCGATGCCAAGGAATAGTGGTCGCTTAGGGCCAGGTTCTGCGATTGGGTTTTAGGGCCAGTTTCTGGACAATTTTGGGCTTCAGGGCCAGTTTCTGTTCGCAGGGATTCCTCGGATCGTCCTTATCACTCTGAGGGGTTTGCACGGTACAATTCATGGAAATAGGTTTCTGTGTACAGCCAAGATTTTACTGTTTTAGGAGGATCTTTAGGAGAAATGGAAAGTTGGGTTTTAGGGCCAAGTAGGATCAAGTAGTCATGGGGGGTGGGAACCTTCACGCTTGCAGGGCTTGATTCCCACACCCACCCTTCTTTTCAACCATCCTTCTTTTCAAAAACCGGCTGGTGTCCCTCTCAGGATACAGTTTTGTCTAGTGTTGAAGCAACAGCGAAAAAGGGGTACCCCGAAGAAAGACACACGCACACTCTTCTTGCTTTTGTTCAACGCTGCTCCGTTGGAACAACAAATGGCTGTGGGCCGAAATAGGTACCCAGCATGGAACCCTCGTAAATGGACACATAGACAAAAACAAGCGGTCTGGTGGTGGTTTAATTTTGACCCATAAGCAAAGAATAGAATATCTGTCACAGGGTCCCACTTTTTGACTACCCCAAGGTAGACTTAAACCAATGGGTGGTTGTCCCTAAAACGTGTTTTTTGCCTGGGTTTATGCCGACTTTCAGGCAGTCAACGGCTTCCACAATGGCTTCCACGACGGCCCACAACGGCTTCCACAAACCCCGTGCAAGGTCCAGCGGTTCAAATCCCCAAACCACCTATCCAAACCACCAAGTAGGAGCTACCTGAAACGCTGCTCAATGGGAACCAAAAAAAAAGAGTCATGTTCCAACGGCTTCCACAACGATCTTGGACAAACAAACAAGCGGGGATACGGAGGGAGCGGGGATATGGGAGGGGGATTTTCCTTGGCGCAATTTCCCATATCAAACTTCGTCAAGTTGCATCAAACGGGGGAATCCTCTCCCGTATCCAACTGGTTCCCCCTGTATCCCTGCTAGTTGGTTTCCCTGAACGCACCCCACGGTACGAGGCTCCGCTTGGACACCGCGCAGCTCAGCACGGTGAAGACCAGCAGCGCCGTGTAAATCATCTCCGTGCCGATAGCGTAGCCCGCGTGGAAGGGCGGCACGGGTGCTACCACCGCCAGGTGCGGGAAGCACACGATCCTCTAAAGGGGGTTGGGCGGTTTGGGGGTTTGGGGTTTGGGGAGAAGAGGCCGACATAGGTGGAGAGAAAAGGCCGGCATACTTAGGTGTCCTTTTTGGGGAAATGGCCCTGGTAGATGATTACACCACCAGGTAAACCAGAGCCATCTATTTTTCTACCAAAACAACCAAAAAGGACATGGGGAGACAAGGCCGACATACTGTGGATGAACGAAATCCATTTCGCACCACTTTGAAACCATGGTTGAAGCCATTGTTTGTTGGTATTTACAGGGCAATCATTCATTCCAGGATTTGTTAGGTGGTGCAGGATTTTGTCCATCCACAGTATCTTAAACGCAGTCACACAAACACAAACAAAACACACACACAATCACAAACACACAAAAACAAACAAGCCACACACACAAACACAAACACAAACACAAACACAAACAAAACAAACAAACAAACAAACAAACAAACAAACAAGAACACACACACACACACAAGCACACACACAAAAAAATAAACTCTGAGTGGATGCTTCAGTTTTGAAGGGACATGCTGCACAAGTCAAAAGTGGAAAAAGGGGCTGCTGGAGCCCACGTGCAACTGGGGATCTTGTAGGCGGAGGCGGCACTGAAAGCGCCCATGAATTGGAAGAGCCAGTAGGACAGCACGCCACTCCAGCTCTTCTTCCCCAGCAGTGCCATAGCAAAGGTCACCGCGGGGTTCAGGTGCCCCCCTCACAGAAGTTTCCCCCCAGATTCGCCCCGAATAACCTCAACCCGTCCAAGGAAGACTCATCTGCAAAACTTGGTTGCTTTCTGCTCCCCTGCTAAAAGTGACTAAATGGAAAACCCATTAGTCGGCACAAAGTTCAAGTCCTAACGTCCAAGCAAAATGCACCAAAGAAAATGCGTCAAGGTACCCTCAAAGGGAAATAGGACGTGGGCCAACCCTGGGGTTCACTCACTGAAACAACATCTCAAATGGTCCATTGCAAAAACCTAGTACACCACAACAACATGTCAGATGGTCCATTGCAACGTCTAAAACCAAAAACAACAAAAACAACGTCTAAAACAAACAAGCAAAAACATATCCCCCCGCCCCCTCCCCCCGGGAAAAAAAGAAAGCAAAGCGCAAGCGCTCGCGCGTTTGCGGCGCCGGTTGGCCGCCTGAGATGTTGCTGGTGGCGTAGACCATCACCGTGAGCACCGAGGCAATGGCCACCGGGGCCCAGGGCGAGGGCGTGGGGCTGGTCACCGCGCAACCCGCGGTGAAGACCAGCACAAAGGTGCCTCGATCTCGCTCGCGCGCGCGGTGGAACGGGTGGAACCATAAGTGTCCTTTTGGAATAATAGCTGGCCCTGGCCAGTGGAACAAAACCCATCTGAACCAGCGCCTTCGATTTTTAATCAAACCAACCTGAAAAGGACACCTATGGGTGGAACGGTCGCTCGGAAGGGCCGAGGAAATGGGAAGGCTTCCATTTGCTTTTACTTGTCCGCCCCCTAGAACAAATGAGAAAATAAAAATCAGTAGTGAAATTGGTTTCCCTTTAGAACCAACAAGGGAACATGCAAAAAGTATTCGTTTCAGCAAATGGAAGCCTATTGGCGAAAAGCCCGCGGAGTTCTGTTTCTTCCAAGGGTTGCCTACCGGCCAAGCCAAGAAGCCCATGGCTTCCGCGAAGAGCGGCGCGAGACCCTTCAGGAAGGAGTTCCAGATGATGCGCTTGTACTCGTCCGCATTGCGCATCACCTCCGCCATGACCTCGAAAAGGGTCAGTTGGTCCGTGGCGGTTGACCCCCCTGCGAAAAGTGATTCACTTTTTGGGGGTTCAGTAGAAAACACCTTTATTTCAGGGGCTTAGTAGAAAACGCCTTAATTTCAACCAAAAAGGTTAAAGTCTAAAGATCCAACCCAATAGCAGGCAAGTCGAAAAGGGGCCGTTGCGGGGTCCCTGGAAAGCGGCACCAGGTTCTTTAAACAATACCCAGAGCTTCCAACCGCCACAGTAGGTACTTGGGGGGAACCATCATGTAAAACCCAGAGGTAACAATCTGGTTACCTACAGTGGCTTGCCTGGAATGGAAACAGGTCTTGGGACAGGCTTGAACAGGTTTAAAACCCAAATGGGGGTGGCTCAAAAAAAAAGGGGTCCAAAATGGAACCCTGGCAAATGGAAAGGTGGACTAAGACCTGCATATCCCCAGGGGGGTTGATTTTGAGCCATACCCAAATGACCTCCTCCGGCGTCATGCGCGGCCGCTCCTGGCCGCCGCTCGCGCCCGGCGGGGCACCGGTGGCACCGGTGGCGCCGGTGGCGCCGTAGGACGCCTCGCCCGAAGCGGCGCCTTCCAGCAGAGAACGGTCAGCGGCTTCGGCAGCGGCAGCCATTGGATTGGAGATGTGGAAGATGGGGTTTCAGTCGGCTTAGAGGTTGAAGCCTTGCTTGCAGCTTGAGCACAGAAAACGATCGCACCAATTTCATGCCACGTGCCATGGATTGAAGTGGCCAAGGGGGCCACCTCCGCATTGAACTGATTACGGACTCCTTCTTGGTTTCCGAAATACTCCACCGTGCAAGGGGCGCGATGGTCTTTGATAAGAAGTAGAGGGGGGGCAGCAAATAGTGGCTTGGGTAGTTGAGATGGTGCCGCAATGCCGCAAGCCCTGGATGACGTGTTGGCCAGTCACCCAAAGACAGTTCCTCGCATGACGAAAGCAAGGCTACACTCATACTCCCGAACATATATTTGCCTCCTACAGTAGCCGCTGCAAAGGATTTTCCTGAGACGCTCAAAGCAATAGCAATCCATCCTCACTTCCTCCCCTACAAGGTCAGAAAGAGTTTTTTGCCTGTCATCTGGCAAGCTGGATCAAATGGCATCCCAAATCTGCAAAGCATCTTGGTGAGCGGGTACATGCCTTCTTGAGGGGATTCATTGGAAGGGAAACCAAAGGGAGACCTGAAAGAGAAATCCCTTGCTTGAAACCCCCATGCGTGTGTCTCTTTTTTGAGAAAGGCACCCCTTTGTGGCTAAAGAAAACAACATTTAAAAAAGAGCGAAAGAAACAAGAAAAGGAAAACCGTCTGTTGCACCCATTTTGGGGGGGGGGAATCTCCGACTCCCCAAAAAGACCCGCCGACTCGAGCTCGAGCGCCACCCGAATTGGAGCGAGCGGCGAGCGCGGCGCGGAGAGCGGCGCGCGCCTTCAGCAGCCACTCGCAGCTGTAAGGCAGCTGCTGGGCCCAGCCCCACACGCGGAGGTCCAGCCCTGGCAGCCACCTGCGGAGGGGGCTGGCGGATGGGTTTTTTTGTGTGGGTCAAAAATAGGAACCCTCCCACCAACATAGAAGTGCAAAAAGGCCAACTAACCAAGAGGAAAGTAGTCTTTCTACAGGGGTCTGGGCACTAACCCATGTTAGCTGGTGGGAGGGTACCCGAAACGGAACCCACCATGCTTCAAGAAGAAAACAGGCGGATATCCGCACCCATTTATGGTTGGGATTGTCTCTTGCCAACCCTCATCTTACCAGCTGTGGATCGCTTGTGGATGGTCTTTCCACTTTTCGAGCACAGGATGGTCCACCCTGTCCACTCAGTCCACTTCGATTGGAAAGTGGGTAGCCCAGCGCTCAACCTTCGCTGGCCAAAAAAAGACATCGCACATCTTGGGAAGGAGTCGCTCAGCTCAGGAGACCCGGAACACAAACACGCAAGCCCGTTTGCCAAAACGCGACAAAGTCCGTAGACATTCTTTGGACTTCCCATGGCTTTGGCCCACCTCTGCCTCCATGAGTTTCACTTTCAATTTCTTCCGTCGCTTCGATGCTGTTGCCTCTGTACGGTTTTCCATGCGCAGGTCGCTTCAATGTCTGGCTCCTTCCTTTAGATGGGGCTTTGCCTCCTGCAGATTCGTGTCCTTCCAAGAGCATGCAAACAAACAAACGGCTCCCCCACCGGAGAAAAAGAACTACCGCCAGCACAAAGGAAATACCACCGACGTTGCTCAATCAACAGAGGAACCCTTGCAACCATGGGGATCCTTTTGGTAAAATAGATGGATTTCTCTCATAAATAGTGTTTTCTTCTTTTTTCCGGCCAATCCCATCTATTTGCCATCAACCTAACCATGATTGGAGTTAGGCCCAGTTACAGAATGTATATTTTATTGTTTGCTTCAAAGTAAAAAGTATCCTAAGTCTACCCCAGTAACCAATCAAAAGCACACCCGCGCAACCTAAAACCGTCATCGCTCCGCGCCGCCCAGCGCCTGGGCAGCGCCCTTGGCCTCAAGAAATACACCCTGGTCTCGTTGTCCAGCCAGGTCTGCCGAATCGCCTCGGGGCGATAATTCGTGTTGGCCCGACACAAAAGATGGCGGTGTCTTTTGTTGGGTGCCCATCTTTTTAGGGGTGGGTTTAAAGGTTTTGCTGGGTGCCCTTTTCTAGGGGGGTCAAAAATGGGGTAACCCCACAATGGCTTGCCCTGGTAAATGGAACCAAGAACGATTTAACCTGTGGTCCAATTCCTGGTGGTTTAATTTTGACCCACACCCATATGGCGGTGAAACTTTTGTACGGTGCCCTTTTTGAGGGTGGGTTTAAAGGGAGGAACCCAGCCCCGAAAGAAGAAAAACAACTTTTGAAGGTAGACTCTCGCCACTTTTTCGGGTGGGGTCCCTCGACAAATGAGCCCGACAAAACCTGCTCTTACGCATTGGCAAAAAGTCGAGCGTCCAGGCGTGTCCGTTTTTGGGGTTAAATCCAGGCCCAAACCAGTTTGGGACCCTTAGGCCGGCCTACTTGGAGCCACACTCCAATTAACCTCCCACCAAGTAACAGCCGGCACCTGACGATCGGGAAATGGTCCCTTCAAAAAGAAGAAACACCAAACCAGGACCCCCCAAACATCACATTCCGGCTGCAAAAAGGGTGGGACATTTGACCATCGACGGGTGAAACGTTCAAACCTCAACCCGCCTGCAGGTCATGGCGGCTCGCAAGCTCCACGGCGACGCAGAGATCGCCACCTGTCGCTCGAAGGGCGAACGGGCGGGCTCCATGGCCTTTTCTTAGGGAAATTGAGGAAAACAAACAGAAATTGGGAACCTCGAAGCAATTGGACCTGTACATTGGGGGTCGAAGCAATTGGACCTGCAAATTGGGGGAAGCATAGAAGCAATTGGACCTGAGTCGCAATCAAAACCTGGTACTAAAATGGGCTGCCCAGAACCATGTAAAGAATTAAGAAGACGGCCGCAGCTATTTGTTGTTGGGATTGTCCCTTACGAACCTTCATTTACCCGGGTTTTGATTGTGGCTCACCTGTCATCCTTACCCTCCTGCCAACAATGGAAGCTGCCTGGATGTGGGAAGACTACCTTATTTTGGGGAACCTCCCTGTCCACTTCCAGGATTATTGGGGAGAGGGTAACCGTTCAGCCTGAATTGTCAACTAGGTCCCCCAGTAGAGAGGTTAGAATAAGGTTACCCTTTTTTTCTGTAGTCAATTTTAGTAGGGGAACCCTCCCAACCAAAAAAGGGATGAGAAAGGGCACCTAGCTGGGGAACCTAGCTAAGTATATCGTTGCAAGGTCTGGCCCTTTGCGTTTTGGGTGTTGCAACTCTCTCCCAGCTCTCGGCTTTTGCCCAGCAGAAATTGAGTCACCTGTCTTGGTTTGACTCCTGTGCGCTGGAAAAATCCTACAGAAGAGTGCACGCAAGTCCTGCACGGATTCGGCGTGTGCATGCGTGTCTCAACATGATTTCTTTGGGATGGCTTTGTCTACGCAGTTTGTATTGCTGTGCAGTGCAGTTGCTAAATGCAAAAGACAAGAGCCTATGACTCTATTTGGTAGAGAACTGTCAATCCAGCAACTATTGACATGGTTTAGTGTTGTATAATTTATCACTGTATTTGTTTACTCATGCAGAGTAGCAGGAATCCTTTGGTTGCACCTTTTCGTCATGGTTTCCCAGTCTTGACATTTGTAAATGCGAGTGCATGTTAAATGGATATCTATCAGAAAACCAATATGTTCGCTAGATTTCAGCGGAACACACATTCAAATTCACAGCAACATACAAGTGAATTGGCCTGGAGTGCACAGTGCAATTGATGTTGTATGATAAATTCAAGGGATGTGTGTTGGACACATCTTTGCGTCAATTCTAGCCCATACATTCATCTAGGTGTACATGTGTATACATATGAAGCTATCCCCGAGAGTCGTTTCAAGAATACGTATCTACCAGACAACAAGGTCAATACATGTCTGTGTATACATATATATATATATATATGTATATATGTGGATCATCGTAGTCTTCAATAGTTCAAGAAATACTGTTTGATTAACTTGTGTACCAAAAACTAGCTCCTATCCAATCATGAAAATAGAATTGGGCATGCATCCCAACAGCAGAAAAGGATGACAAACAACTACAATGACACACAACTTGAATATAAGCACAAAAACAAAATATAGTCTTTCCACTGGATCGGACCAGCCCAAAACCAAAACAAACAAGCCTCGACCAAAAAAGACAAAACAAAAATCTCAGCGCAAAACAACCCTCACATAGTCTTTTGCACTGGATCAGACCAGCCCAAAACCAAACCAAACAAGCCTCGACCAAAAAAGACAAAACAAAAATCTCAGGGCAAAACAACCCTCTGATAGTCTTTCCACTGGATCAGACCAGCCCAAAACCAAACCAAACAAGCCTCGACCAAAAAAGACGAAACAAAAATCTCAGCGCAAAACAACCCTCAGATAGTCTTTCCACTGGATTAGACCAGCCCAAAACCAAACCAAAGAAGCCTCGACCAAAAAAGACGAAACAAAAATCTCAGCGCAAAACAACCCTCAGATAGTCTTTCCACTGGATCAGACCAGCCCAAAACCAAAACAAACAAGCCCCGACCTAAAAAGACAAAACAAAAATCTCAGCGCAAAACAACCCTCAGATAGTCTTTCCACTGGATCGGACCAGCCCAAGACCAAAACAAACAAGCCTCGACCAAAAAAGACGAAACAAAAATCTCAGCGCAAAACAACCCTCAGATAGTCTTTCCACTGGATCAGACCAGCCCAAAACCAAACCAAACAAGCCTCGACCAAAAAAGACAAAACAAAACTCTCAGCGCAAAACAACCCTTAGATAGTCTTTCCACTGGATCAGACCAGCCCAAAACAAAGCAACTGCAAATATGTGTTACATACTCAGGACGAAATCCTGCACCAGAAAGCCTGGAATGATGATTCCCTTGTAAATGCCAACAGACAATGGTGTTGCATGGTTTCAGAGTCGATTTCGTCCATCCAAAGTATTATGTGTTTGGTTTGTCTTTGGTTAAGATTCCTTTGATCCCGGGACTCTGGGCAGGGTGAAATACAGTCCGAGGATTGTTTCAGAGGTTGTGTGGTGTTGTTTTCCCCGAGGTTTTTGTCGCTGGTGTTGGGCTGGTCTCACCCAGTGGAGCGACTGTCTGAGGAGTGTCGGTTTTGCCTTTCTGTTATTTTATCTAGGTGTTTGCTGCTTTTAGACTCTGTAATCTCAGTGTTTATTTACCAAGTATCTATGAGCACACAAAGGCGCAGCAAGGCGAACTGCATACATGCAGTGGAACAGCTGAAAAGACTGCAATTTACAGAGTAGTTAGAAACACTCGCAGAGCCCCCTGTTCTGTTTGGGTTCATCTGGAAATGTGCTTTCAGCCAAAGGGAAGCTAAAGCGAATGGACGCGCCATCCAAGACAGGAAGCCTGGCCGTGGGCTTTGAAACTCACTGGAAGCGCCAATGAGTCGGGGGGGTCCTCAAATGCATCTGAAGCCAAAAGGAAGAGACGCGCCAGAAAGACAGTGAAACCCCGTTTTCCCCGAAGGGGATGGCTTTCCGTTTTCCCGGTTTTTTTTTCCACTCACCACAAGGAAGGCCGACCCCGGACTTCCGTTTGGTCGCCGTTTTTGTCCAAAACCCCGCACCCGACATGTCGGCCCACCTGCGGCGAGGCTGGCGCCCTGAGCCCGCGTCTTCGAGACGCATCACAAGCATAGGTGTCCTTTAAGATGTTTGGTTTCCCGATGGTCAATGCAAGGTGGCAGGTCAGCAACACTGAGTTGGTGGTTTGGAGTGGTTGGGTTTCAAACATAGGTGTCCTTGCCCTTCATTTTTTGGAAAATCGATGGCCCTGGTAGTTGATTGAACCACAGGGGTTTACCAGGAATCGCCCTCTATTCTTCGACCAAAACAACCAAAAAAGGACCCCTATGATCACAAGATTCTTGCAAGATCTTGGTGCTATTGGCAGGGAATGAGAAATGGAACGAACCTGGTTGGGGGACCCCGCATAAAGGAAACTACTAGTTGGATGGTTTATTGGGATCATTCCGATTCTCATTCCCTGAGCACCAGCAAGATCTTTCATTTGTGTTTTTCTGTCCCTCGGAAAAAATGAGAAAAGGATTGAACTATGTCCAGTAGTGAAATCGATTCGGTGGAAACAGCCAAGAGGGGAATGATTATCATATTATTTTCAGCAAGTGGAAGTTGTAGGTCCCTCGAAAAGAACAACAGTTGGAGTTTTAGTGGTCTGAAACCCTTCTCATCATTGGGCGCTTTGGCCACACATGTGAGAAGCCCATAGCGTAAGAACCGGTGCGCCCTTTTTCGAAATTGATGGAATAGGATTGGTTGGTGCTGGACATATTCATCTTGGTGCTTGGCATGTGCTGCAAGTTGTATTTTCAAGAAGTCCACCAGCCGACACGTTCAAGTGTGGCCCCTCTCTAACATCATGCACATAAATCGACAGGTTGCTCGAGTTTGAGGGGCGGCTCAAACTCTGCTCCCAAGTCCCAACCTCAAATCAAGTGCTCAAAACAGATAGACACCACAACCTTTGCAATACAGCGTCATGCACAAGGCTTCGAGAAGCTGTAATTGAGCCCAGGTGTTCAATGAATCCCTGTACTATTTGTTTTTCAACTAAGCCTGCCACATTGGAAAACCCATTTCGCGTTTCTTGATGAGCACGAGTTCGCCGCGTCGACAGAACTGTATTCGCCGAAGACAGGTCGAGCATGTTGACACCCCCAAAGGGTTGTGTCTCTTGATGTTACCTGTGCTTCCAGTTGCCACCATAGGTAGCCAAGCACCTCGACTTTTCGATTTTTCCACAAATGGTTCTCAACCTGGCTGTGGGTCACCCTGTACCTCTGGTGAACATCAAAAATGGGCGGCCTTTGGATGTTCATCCACCCCAAAATCGCCGTAGGTTCTGCAACCCATGGCCACCTGAGTTACTTCTCACGCGCAACTCCACAGAGGGCCCGAGCCCAGGCCGCCAGCCAGCTCCAAAACATCCACCTCGCGGCTCCAAACGAAAGCGGCCGGCCGAGCCACTGCCCACGCCGCATCCCAGGAGAAAGTGCCCAGCGCGGCTTCAGTGGAGAAAAGCAGACCCCGAGGCATAGGGGTCCTTTTGGAAAAACTAGATGGGTTCCCCTGGTCAGTAGAACAAAACCCATGAAACACCAGTGCCTTCTACTTTTAATCAAACTAACCTAAAATGGACACCTATGACCCCAAGGCTTCCATTTGCGCAAGTCCACTGGAAAAAAAACGATAAATTATGTCCAGTAGTGATAGATTGCCTTTAAAACCAACAGGGGAAAATGAAACCCAAAAAAACACTCAAGCAAATTGAAGAATGGGAGGCCAATCCAATTCATCCGCTTGGAATAGCCGAGCACTCATGGCAACCGATCGCTTGTTGGTCAGCCCGCCTCACCGCATCGCAAACTTTGGTCTGGTGATTGCGATCGCGCGATCACGCAATCGAATCCCCATCCTGATGAAGTCTCCTGGGTATCTTTGCTGGATGCTTGACTAAAGCTGAAAGCAGTCAGTGGCTGCAAGTGAGAAAGTGATGCAACACATATATATATATACATAAATTTATGTGTGTGTGTGTACGTACGTACTCCCTTTAGAAAGCCGGGCAAGCTGTGCATGTGAAGATGCTTGGTTCCCTAGAAAAACACTGCCCGCTGCATTGGCGCTTGCCTCCAAATGTCTCGCAGCAAAGTCTACGCGCGACGCTGCCATCTGGCTGGGGGTCAAAACTCATGCGATCCCATTTTCGGGTAAGTGCACCACCCATTTTAGTCTATTTCGGTGGGCATCACTGGGGGTACGGGCTTTTGACCCATGGCCATCTGAGTTTGCTTTGATAGCGCCAAGAAAGCGATTGGCCCAAGCAATCCTGCTGGAGCCAAGCAGGAGCACGACGTGGGAGCAGAAGTTGCCTTTCCTACACCATGCTGTGCATAGGATGGCAAGCATCCTCTCACTCACCCAAGCAAAGAGGGTCAATCTTGCCAAGGAAGGCCGTACATATGACAACGAACTTGAAGGCAAATAAACAATCATCATGCCGTGCCGGAAAAAGATCAACACGCACTCACACACACACACACATGTTGTAATGTCTAACCTGGGCAAAATCAAATCTCTTTGTTTGCCACCCAATGAAAGGTTGAACGCGAACCGAGGCGATTGTTGTTTTTCTGAGGTGGTATTGTCTGACAGCACACACACTCTTTTCTCCCTTCCGAAGCTGTGCTGAGGATTTCAGCACATGCAACATTTGCACCCGCGGCGCTCAAAACAGCGCTCACAATTGATCGGAGCCGTGCGTGTCATCCGCATCTGCTCTAGATTTCAGAGATGGTCGCCCTCCTTGCTCCACATTTCGTGAGGGCGGCGATTCACCATTGCACTCTTGAATTCTCGGCAGACTTAGGCCAGCAAACTCGATAAAGCAGGGTCGGGCTCACACGCCTGTCAATCGCCCGTGTTTGCACTGCGGTTGGGTTGCTTGCCCATGTGCACAAGGAGTCGGTCATCCTGGAATCCCTTTGCCCGACCCATCGAAACATTACGCGTTGTGTGGAACGCTGGTAATTCCTATTTGATGCGCTGCTGGGAGGCTTGAGCGCTCTGAAGGAAGCGGACTCCAAGGTCTGAATCCCTCAGAGTTGTGCACACATGCAATGTGGCACAAGACATCCGGCGTTTCACAAAGGACGCCTTGGAAGAAAACCACTTAGAGGAGCGGTGCCTTGCCAAGAGCATGTTCTTCTATTTCTAGGTGGGTGTGGGTCGAAATTAAACCACCAAGGGACCCCAGGTTTTAATCCCGAGTTCCATTTACCAGGACAAGCCATTTTGGGGTTACCCCATGTTTGACCCACAGCCAGGTGACCACTTGGGCTCTTTCCAGTAGCTCAGTAGCTCCCAGAGGACGCAGCATTAGCTTCTTACGAAGCCTGGCTGGGCGGCCTGACCTCTCTCCGCGCAGATGTGCAGATCTACCAGGCGCCGCCCAAATGAGCCACAATCAAAACCGATTCGGTACATGGTGAACCCAGAACCATGCTTCAAGAATTAAGAAGCCAGATATCCGCAGCTATTGTTGGGGAGGGGATTGGCCCTTACTAACCTTCATCTACCCGGGTTTTGATTGGGGCTCAAGTGCTGAACCCGGCCCTGTCACAAGTTGCTTAGGCCGTGGTCGCAAGCGGAGAGAAGTCACCTTCACAACCAGGACATTAAACACATGCACCTTGCCAGTGCTGCAGGCTCCTATGATTCTCAGATAGCCTGACCTGTGCCTATTGCACAAAATATTGAACCCCGGCAGCTCAAAGTCGCTGCACCACCATTTCACCTCAAGCTGAGCTGCGAGTTGGCACAACTTGCCAAAAAACGACACACGGGCACACAGGATTCGCAGCCTCTAGCTCACAACCAAAAGCGATGTCAGAGCAAGGCCCTGCGCAAAGCAAGGAACGCACCAACCGCAACAAACGCAATGACGACGACAACGACGACGACGGTGGTGACAAAGACAACCACCACCACCACTGCCACCGCCACCAGCGCCAGCACCAACAACAACCACAACCACAACCACAACCGAAACCGCATCCAGCAGCAGCAGCAGCAGCAACACCAACACCAACAACAAAATCAAACAAAACCACGACAACGATGCCTACCACTACTGCTGCTACTACTGCTACTACTGCTACTACTGCTACTGCTACTGCTACTGCTACTGCTACTACTACTGCTACTACCACTACTACTACTACTATTACCACGACTACTACTGCTACTACGACGACGACGACTACTACTACTACTACTACGACTACAACTACTACTACTGCACGGCCGCGAAAGAGCCTCGGTGACAGTAATACCAAAATGACAAAGCCAAAGGCAACAACAGCGATCACTACGAACAACAAAGAACAAACGCAAACAGCAAACAACGACAAACACCGCGCGCGACAAGAAAACAGACACAAACAACTACATGCAAAGGACAAGGAACACCTGCCAGCCACATCGCCACATCTCACCCGCTGGTTTTCTTTTTGCTGAGGTCCTGACCAGGATCCTGGAGATCCTCGGGTGCAGCAGACCCGATGGCTAGCCAAACGATATCCGCCGACTACAGGCGGTGGAAACAAGAAGTTTGACCCGTTGCCCTTCCTTACCTGTCTTGTAGAGGGTGGCGTTGTACCGCTGCGGGGGATGTGGGACAGTTGCATTTGAACCTTGAATGGTTCGACTTTCGCTGGGCCCCTTGTCCAGCATCCTCAGCATCATTTTAACATCTTCAGCATCACCGGAATGTCGTGACCAAGAAGTTGCTAACAAAAGTTTCCCGCATCCCCACAGAAGGCCCGGCCATGGGCCTGCGTTTGTGAAATACCGGAAGACCTCACGTACCCAAACCTCAACAAAACCTAAAAAAAGATCGCTGGGGGGAAATGAACAGCACCTCCAAGATTTTGTTCTGGGGATTGATTTTTTTGGCTTTCCCGAAAGCATGGCGAAGGGTTCTTCCGCTGGGTTCACTTGACAGTTCTCATGAGAGTCATTGCAAGGAGTCATTGCAAGGAATCATCATCATGAAAGTCATTGCAAGGTGTCATTGCAAGGAATCATCATTCTGAAAGTCATTGCAAGGAGTCATTGCAAGGAATCATCATCATGAAAGTCATTGCAAGGAGTCATTGCAAGAAGTCATTGGAAGGAATCATTGCAAGGAGTCATTGCAAGGAGTCATGAGAGTCATTGCAAGTTACAAGGAGCCAGGTGCATGGAGTCAAGTGCAAGTTGCAAGTGCACGGAGTTAAGTACAAGTTGCAAGTGCAAGGAGTCAAGTGCAAAGCGCAAGTTGCAAGTGCAAGGAGTCAAGTGCAATTGACTCGGGCAGTGCCGACGACACTCTACGAAAGCCGACCCTCTGCGGGGATTGGCGTGGTCGAGGTGCAAAAACTCGAGGTTTTTGGCGATTTTGTTTTGGCCCGCGCGACCCTCTGCGGGGATCGGCGAGGTCGAGGTGCAAAAACTCGAGGTTTTTTGCGATTTTCTTTTGGCTCGCGCGACCCTCTGCGGGGATCGGCGTGGTCGAGGTGCCAAAACTCAAGGTTATTTTGCAATTTTGTTTTGGCTCGCGCGACGCTCTGCGGGGATCGGCGTGGTCGAGGTGCAAAAACTCGAGGTTTTTTGCGACTTTTGTTGTTCGAACTGCTGCGCGGAGCAACTTGCATAGAGCAACTTGCGCAGAGCAACTTGCGCAGAGCAAGTTGCACGGACCTTTTTGCGCAGAGCAACTTGCACAGACCAGTTTGCGCAGAGCACCTTGCCCAGAGCAACTTGCGCAGAGCAACTTACGCAGAGCAAGTTGCACGGACCTTTTGCGCAGAGCAACTTGCGCAGAGCAACTTGCGCAGAGCAACTTGCACAGAGCAACTTGCACAGAACAACTTGTACAAAGACATTTGCAGAGAGTCAGTTGCACAGAGCTTCTTGCACAGAGCAACTTGCGCAAAGTAACTTGCGCAGAGCAACATGCACAGAGCAACTTGCACAGAGCAGCTTGCACAGAGCAATTTGCGCAGAGAAACTTGCGCAGAGCAACTTGCGCAGAGCAACTTGCGCAGAGCAACTTGCGCAGAACAACTTGCACAGAGCAACTTGTACAGAGCAATTTGCGCAGAGTCAGTTGCACAGAGCTTCTTGCACAGAGCAGCTTGCACCAAGCAACTTGCGCAGAGCAACTTGCGCAGAGCAACTTGCACAGAGCAACTTGCACAGAGCAGCGTGCACAGACCAACTTGCAGGGAGCAACTTGCACGGGCAACTTGCACGGAGCAACTTGCACAGAGCAACTTGCACAGAGCAACTTGCGCAGAGCAACTTGCGCAGAGCAACTTGCACAGACCAGTTTGCGCAAAGCACCTTGAACTTGCGCAGAATCATCATCATCATTGAAACGGACGACCGCCACACAGTCCAGCATGTTGCCCGGATCCTTGCGGATCCAGCCCAGGTAAGGCAGTGGATAGCTGCAACAGCCATCCGGCACCTTGGTCACGGCGTTGCCGTGCATATCTGGTATCAAGAATGCTTTGCCTCACCTTAGCGTGCCAAGTATACAAAGCATCATCACTCCTGTGGCCAGAGGGCCATGCTAGCCTTTTTGCAAGGATATCAAGGTTATCAAGATTACCCAAGTGCGGGCGGTCGCCCGCAGTAGCCTCACAATCCCACACCAAGTGCTCAAGGGTGGGAACATGCTGTCCACACAAGCCACACTGAGTCTGCCCCATTGCAGCTGGAGACACTGTGGCACCGCTCATGACCTGAAAGTGCTGGAAGCTGAGCAAGCACTTGCGCCTTACCATCTTAATCCTATGGGGATCGTATGGTATGTGGCGGCACAAGGCAGCGTCACGCCTGTTCTCAGTCCTGTATTCACGCCACAAGCAGAGTGGTCACGGGGCTGTGATGCTTTCGGGCCAGCCGTGGTCTGGTTTGTTGATTTTTGTTTAGTTTCTCAAGGTTGTTCCTTCTGAGTGTTTTTTTCGAGTATTCCTTTCGTGTTCTCTCAGTATTTTTTAGTACTCATTAAAAAAAAGAATTCCCTTACTATTCCCCAAGAAGTCCTCATTGCTCCTTTCATATTCCCCATCCTTCCCATATTCCTGTAATATTCTCTTGCCCCTAGCGTTCTCTCAGTACTCTGTCAGCATTCTTTCAATACTCCAAGTCTTTCCCCCAGTAGTAGCCAAAATTCCATAGCATTTTCTTCGCATACCCCTCCCCCCCAATATTTCCCGGCACCCCTACACCAATAAGAAAACTGAGGGAATGCTGAAGGAATAGGGGACCGCTCGCGGAATGCTAGGGAATAGGGACTATTCGAGGAGTACTCGGGCAATTCTAGGGAATGGTAAGGGAGCACAAGTGAATACTGTGAGAACTTGAAAATGTTAAGGGAATCTAGGGGAGCATTGAGGAAATACTTGAGGGTACACCCTGAGAATACTACAGGAATTCTAGGGAAACACCGAGGAACTGCTAGGGAACTGCTAGGGGGAATACTGGGGGAACAATTGAACACTGAGAGAATATTTGGGGTATATGGAAAATACAAAAGGAATTAGTGGAGTGCCAGGAGAAAACAAAGAAGCTGCTGAGGCGGGGAATAGAGAATACTAGGGGAATAATATGGGGTACGGGAGTACGCGGAAACACGAAGGGCGAATACTCCGAAAACTGTAGGCGGAGAGTACTGAAGGAATACTTGGGAACACCAAGAGAATTCTGAAGGACTTGTGTGAGAATACCGGGCGGATGATAAGGAGAATGCTCGGGAATTACCAAGGAAATTCTTGAAGAATTGAGGGAACATTAGCGGGAATACTGAGAGAATATTCGGGGTACACTAAGAAAATGGCAAAGGCGCACTGGGGCAAGTGGCACATCATTACTCGGAGGTGTCTTATTTGCGGAATTCTGGGGGGATTCTGGAAGAATTCTGGGGGAAGTTTAGGGGGATACAAAAAGAACACTTGGAGAATACTGATTGCCAGAACACGGGGGAGAGGAAAACTGCTTGCAGCGGGGTGGCCTTCTCCAATCAAGAGGCGTAAACAGGGCTGATTTGGCCATGGGTCAAAACCCAAATCGTATTCCCAGCGAACATCCCAATCCAACCACTAAAATAGGGACAAAAATGGGTGGCGAATTCACCGTTTGGATTTGTGCTTTGGGATTTGAAGCCCTGGTTCTTGTAGAGGGTAGACGACGGGAACCCCCTCCTTCTCCAATCCAAACCACAGCCATTTCACAACAGGTCTAGATCCCCAGCTCAGGAACAAAAGGCATCTTTAGTCAAGTCCTAGCAGAAAAGCGGAGCTTGACTGCATCAGTCCCCCACCTATTGCTTCTGGGGACCTTTCCAACCAAAGGCGAGGAAGATGCAAAAAAAACATCCCAGCCAGGGGAGAGAGAGAAGGGAAGAGAACTTGACAAACGGAGGAAACACAAGTTGACAAGGTCCCTACAAGAGTCCTGCGGGGACCTTTGGAAAGGCAAGATCGACACCAAAAGAAAAAACAGCACTATCAGCACGACAGAGCTTGCCTGCGCCCTTTGCAAACAACAAACTACACGCCCCCCGCGATAAAAGAAAGCTTGAACAAACAGAGGCAAACCAAAGGTCCCTACCCAAGTTCTTTCTGCGACGCGCAAAGCCACCGTATGAAAAAAACTGCAACAAGACAGCAGCGCGCAACATTGCATTGTTCAGTTTCTTGGTGTGCCAGCATTTACTGGTAACTGCCAATTCGATCTGTCCAAAGAGAGTGGACGCAGTGTCCTCCAAAGTGGAGTACTCAAGTGCCAACTATGGGCGTTCGTGCCGAGTAGAGGACGTATGGAGTGTGTGGTATGGGGTGCCAAAAAGGGGTGAACAAATTCGTGTAAAGGCTGCAAAATTGAACGCTTGTACACGCATCCGCAAATGCGAGCTCGTGCCAATGTGCTCTAAGGAGTCCTCGACGGAAAGGAGAGCTTGCCTCTTGAAGGAATGGGCTTGGCCAAAAACTGCCTGGTTTTCAAGCAGCGAGGGATCTTGAAGGATGTGGCCTAGATATTTGATCCGGGGACACAAAAATGGATTGGGTCGGGGTAAGCAGCGAGGGAAGGTGGGTATGTGCTTGGGAGGAAAGGAATTCGTTGGAGCACTGCTCCTCTGATGGAGAGACTTGATTCCGAGGATTTGTCAAAGTGTGCGGAAATGGAGCGCATTATCTTGTCTGAGTTGCGATTCGGTGAAAATCTGGGACTCCGCTGAGTAAGTGAGCATTAATTGGACGATTTGCACTCTTTGTTTGGAAATATGCTTGTGGCGGAGGAAAGGGGCTAGAGCCCCAGTAGCCTGAGAAAGTTGATATGTGGCATCGCAAAGGGAGGAACTTTGCGGGAACACCACTTGGACGGTCTTCCGTCCGGACCGGGCTCCTGCGTGGCTTCACTCTGCGCAGGGCAGCGTCCTATTGCGGACAGCTTTAGTCGACGGTCTGTATTGTCTTCAAAGCATTTTTATGGTCTTCCATTAGCAGATCCACTGTTTCTATCTTTAACAATGCGGTGTTTGAGGGCTCTTCGGAGTTTGTGACGCTGATCCGGGGGGAGATTTTCCGACTGCATGCGGTGGATCATACGAATAGAAGGGCCAGTGAGGAGTTGTGGAAGAGACCCATGAGCTGGTGGGCGCAAGAACGTGGTCAAGGACTGCGTGAGAGGAAGTAGTTATGGAAGTGGAGGGTGCAGCTATTTCTTGATATGTGACTAAGGAAGAGAGGGCTGGGACGGAAGGAGGACACGACGGAAAGGTTGTGATGAGCAATAAAAGGGGAGGTTGGAGGCGTAAAACGTAACGTCATTGACGTTAATATCAAAGACCTGGTCATAGGAGTGAGTAGCTCTGGTGTTCCTGTCAATGGTGGCTCTGGTGAGCCCATAGACCAACTGCAATGTGGAGGTCATCCTGGCTGTACAAGCTGTATGCCACTGAAGGAGAACGTCCTGCCTGAAGAGAATTACATGTGTATCTTCTTGGAAATCGCAATGTTGGGCCATGTCTGTAGTGTTGATCGGCTTGTTGGCCTGCTGGAGCTGCTTGAGAGAAAATGGGCATGAGAGCAAAAAAATGGTTGTAGTCAAATGCGTTCAAGATGTACCTTCGGAGCATCCCAGGTGTTGGGGAGGTGCCATGTGAACTTCCTCCTTTTCAAGAGCTCCTGGCGATAGTATTCAGTGGAAAGCTCCAACCTGACAATGGAGGAATGCCTGGAAACCATGTGACTTTGCATTGCAACAATGGCCTGCTTCGGGATGGCCAGCATAGTTCTGTTAACACCAACTGCTGGGAGTCCCTGTAGGAGGGCAGTGTGCCGCTTCCAGAGACTTTAGTCTGCTGTCAGTCATCTCCATCTTGAGTTGGAGAAAAGATCACAGATCTTGAGTGGAGGGCAAGAAGGGAGGTGGAGTGGTACTCCATCATAGCGTCCTTAATGCGCTGTTCTGCTGTAATATCAACTGCTGATGTGGGGTAGCATCAAAAGGTCTCTTCTTGGAAAGGTCGATGTCAAGGAAGCTGCCAGTGTCTGCATGGTCCTGGAAGAAGAGCAGTGTATCTGAGTGAAGTTGTCCCTCGCTTCCTGAGAGATCGTCAGCTCATGTGGGGTCGAGGTCCATCCATTCTATCTCCATAGCGGCCAAGAAGTCCTGCATCGTCATTTTTGGGCTCAGTTCTGGATTTGTTGGATTCAGGGGGGGGTATGTCGATGAAGTGCTGCTGTATGAACTTCTGCCATAATTCTTGTTGTTTCGCGACAGGTTCCATGGCTCTGCAAAGCAAAGCGAAAAATGGGGCTGGGCTTGTGCCAAATGCCTTCCTTACCAAGTGCTGCAGTGAATCTAAGCAAAGGAGAGAGAGAGAGAGAGAGAGAGAGAGAGAGAGAGAGAGACAGAGACAGAGACAGAGACAGAGACAGAGACAGAGACAGAGAGAGAGAGAGAGAGAGAGAGAGAGAGAGAGAGAGAGGCGCGTCAGCAGGACAGAGCTAGCTTGCATCAGTAGCACCCCCATCCATCACGTCTTGGGACCTTTGTGACAAAACACAGAAGCTGCAAGCCAAAAACTCACACAGCCCCAGCTAGGGAAGACAACTCCGGAGCACAGCCCCCGTCCATCACCTCTGGGGGCCATTCCAAAAAGAAGAAGTTAGCAAACAAAAGCCGTGGACAGCCCTAAAAGCCCCGGGTGTTTTTGTCTTTTCCCGCTGGGTGGGGGGCTTGTGGAATCCAACTTCCCCGCCCCATTTCTGAGACCGATCCGGCTGAGCGCCCGGCGTACCCGCTGGAGTCCACTGGAATCACCTCGGTAACTTCTACGGGATCCTGGCAACGGATGCCGCGGGATCGCTCGGCGTTCTGCACCGCGGATCAGCCTTTAAAACGACTCTCTGGCGGAACCTGGGTTTCAACATATGCCAACCTGCCAAGCTAATCCCCCAAAACTTCCGCTCATCCCTGGCCTACTTTGGATGGACGAAATCCTGCACCACCTGAGAAACCCAGTAAATACCAACAAACAATGGTTTGCCATGGTTTCCAAGTGGCGCGAAATGGATGTCGTCCATCCACAATAGGGGCAACCAATTTCCGACCCAAACTGCGGCCACGCTTTGGTCGCCCAGTCCTGGCTGATCTCGCTGCCCTCCCAGCGCGCTGCATCGATGTCCTGCAGGATGGCCTTCGGCGTTTCAGACTCGAGACGAGGAGCGGATGGTACACCCCTGAATGTGCTTCCAAACAGTTCCTTTATGATGGTGAAGAATGTTTGTTTATAGTTGTTTTTGGTTTTACACTTTCTTGTAAACAGTTCCTCCATGCTTCTTAGAATTGGGTGTATGTAGATCCTCTATGGTTCCTCTATACTTCTTATAAAGTTTTTGATATAGTTCTTTTGGTTCAACATGTTAGTTCCTAATGATCCCCGGCAGACCCCTGGCATATGGTGCCCCCAAATCTGCATCTGGCTTTGTGTTCCGGACGTTTTGAAATGGAGGAACCCTGCCCCCCCAAGGTTGTCCTCCAGAAAACTGACACCCTTCCATGAACTTGGAAGGGTTTCCTTTTCAATTTGAACCCTTAAAAGGGGTACCTCCCCCAGTCTTTCCAGGGATCCTTCTTTCTAGAAACCCTGGGGAAATGGCTGGTTGTTAAAAAGAACGATGGCTGAAAAGAATGGGGAATCAACCCCTAGACAGTTTGTTTCCTTTGGGTTGCCGTTTCGTGAACCGCTGCTTGGAACACGAAACAGAGTAGGAAGGAATTTGTGCTTTTAGTTGGCAAGTGCTGGAGACGACCATGATTAATCAGGGGGGGTTGTTGCTAGGAAGGCTAGTCGTTGCGAGCTTGTCAAACCTTGAACTGTAGTAACAAATTCGCTGCTTCTGGATACATGTTTTCTGAGATTTGCTGTGGAGACCCTTAGAACTATGAAAGAAAGTCGCATGGGGAAAAGTATTGGCCACAGCTGCCCTTTTCTTTTGGAGGGAAGGGCGATCGGTTTTTTTTTTTCTGTTGATGGGGTGATTAAATTGTCCAACCTTGACTGAATTGGGAAACACCTAATCTTGGCAAGGGGGCTCAGGAGTATGTTCGCGGGATTGATCAGGTCCCAAAAAAAACAGCACCCGAACCGGCCAAGTCTGAGGGCCTGAGGGCCAACCGTGAACCCCCATGGCAAAAAGCTACGGCTGACCGTTGAACCCACGGTGCTCAAAGCGGAAACGCGACGATCTCAATCTCAAACACCTCAAATCGTAATTCACCCCCAGTTCACTTTGCCTCAATTCCACTTTTCTCAACGGACGCGGTATGTTTCCCGCATGCTGTGCTCGCGTTCAGCAATGGGACAGTTGAATGGCGCATGTTGTCACCAAATGCAAAACAAAATGGGCCCACATGGTCCAGAAATTTTAGCGAGCAGCCCCTCACAACTGGTTGGCAACCATACATCCCCTGGTGAAATGTCCAGCAAAAGGCCCAACTGAAATGCATACCCTATGAATGAGAAATATCCGCTCGCGCCACTGTTCAAAAACCGTGGTTTCTGATTCGCTTCCAAAAGGAAAATGGCAGGAAACGTTATGGTTTCACAACTAGTTTCAACTATGGTTTCATCTCGGTGTGTTTCGCAACCATCCACAGGATTCAATATTTTCTATCATCTTCTCGGGCAAAGCTAAAACCCACTTCCTCAGTTTGGCAAGGAAAGGTCAAAAATAGTGCCCTCACTCCCACGTTGCCATGGCACCTGACACTTCTGATCTTTTCTTAGGAGAGCCGTTGCAACACAACTGCGTTTGGTCTAAACATCTCTCAATGCTGGTGATGAGCATCCTGGCGACGTCACCTTTCAAAACAGCCCTCCAAAGCAGCAGTTGTAGGGTTTGAAGCTGCAAAAAGTTTGTCGCAAACAGCTCGTTACATTGCCACTTTTGAAAGTCAAATTGGTTTACGTTGAACATGTTCGATTGAAGCAACTGCCCTTTAGTTGCGCGCGTTCTGGCCAGAGTTGAACAACTCAGCAATCCCCTCAATGTTCAAAGCTGCACTGAAAGAGGAAAATGGTAAGAGGCAAACAGGTAACTTGGCTTTGATAAGTTTGGCTGGCAGCGCCGGCTGTTGCGACTGCTGCGCTCGTTGGAGGCGTGACCCACAGCTTCAGCCAGCCTATTTTTTGGCTTCGGGTGGCCCCGTGCCTTATTTTATATTGCCGCCAGGCGGCTTGTCAATGGCAGTTTCGGGGGAACAGGCGGCCATTTGTCAAGCGAGGACTTTGTGACCCTCAATCCGGCTCATTCCGCTGGGGGATTTTGTTACGTGCTTATCCGGAAGATGTCTTTTGGGGCTTGTACCACCATTTTTCAACGGAGTTTTGCCCCCTTTTTTTGGGAGAGATGCTGATACGGGGTTGTTACCACTCATTCAGCAATGCCCTTTTCGGGGGGGATTTTGTTACCCTCTTATCCGCGGAGAAGATGCGGCTGACGGGCTGTGAAATTCTTCGCGGAGAAAATGCGGCCCTTGAGTAAGGGTAACAACATTTTTCCAAAAGAAGGTAACAAAGCCCCCCTGAGAAAGAGCTTAGCAAGATCGTCCCGGATTAAAGGGCAACAACGTTGCCCCAGGAAAAAGGGTCACGCAATCCCAACATGAAAGAGGGCAACCAAATCTCCCCAAAAGAGGGCAACAAAATCCCCCCCCGCCAAAGAGATAGCAAATCCCCCCAACCAACTACTCCGAAAGACGGCAACAAACAAAAAGCGCCCGGACAAGAGGGTAACGCAATCCATCGAACAAGGGCAAAAATCCCCGCGGATGAGAGAATGGCCGCCTGTTCCCCCGAAACTGCCATTGACAAGCCGCCTGCGGCAATACAAATAAGGCACGGGGCCACCCGAAGCCAAAAAATAGGCTGGCTGAGGCTGTGGATCAAGCCTCCAACGAGCGCAGCAGTCGCGTCAGCCGGCGCTACCAGCCAAACTCATCAAAGCCAAGTCACCTGCTTGTACTGTGTTCCTCATTCATGTTGAACTCACACTCGAGTAGCTAAATGATTCAATCCAGACCAGAAGACGACGTGAAACTAAAAGCTTCAACCGAACATGTTCAACCAACACTTATCAGCTTGTTGGTTTTCAGGTCAAGTTTGTTGATTCTGCAGCGACTCTCCTAAGAAGAGATCAGACTTTGGGCGCGTCCCCGAACAAAAGAGAACACATTTTATCAAACATAATCTTCCAGGTACCCAGGCGTCTGCGATCTCTCGGAAGGGCCATGCGCCATGGTCCAACGAAATCGCCTTTTCGGCGGGGATTTTCCGGTCGTGTCTGGGGTCGCTTTTCTTTCGACGCGGGATCGATCGATCGAGAAAACGCAGCAGATCCGTGGCCTCGGCGTCGAAGTCCTGGGGAGGAAAAACGAAAAAACTGCGCCGACCGGTGGGAGACCAAAGTCTACCCTCTGGGGAAAAAGATGACCCATCCCCCTGGCTAACATGGCGATTCCATGGAAGCTCCCAGGACGCCTTTGGAAGGCTTAGTCCCATTTACAGAGGCCTTCTGGGAGCTTCCATGTTAGTCTGAGGGAGTGTAAATGTAGTGGTTGGGGTTCCAACCTCAAAAAAAGGCGGCATGGCCAAGATCCTTTTGCCAATTTACCCTGTCTCCCAACGTAGCACCTGGAGAGTACCGGGATCCATGCCTGAGGGGCCCCAATTGCTTCCCAGTGGATGAGGCATTTGCCTGCACCGGGTATGTGTCAATCTCATTCCCCAAATCCTGATGCAGCTGAATTCTCGATCCCTTGCGACGTCCGTTCATTGAAAAACGTTTTGGGTACCGCACGGTTGCCCCTTGCTAGGGGGGCAGTGCATTTGTCCAACCAACCTGTGTCTGTTGATCTCCATTTTGCCTTGCGGCTGATCACAAACAAACTGGCGGAAAACGGGGTCGTGTGATTGCAAATGAAATTTGGATTCACATCATTTCATCAACCACTTCGATGGCCAATCCCTGAGAGTGGCCTTACAACTTGCAAGTTTTCCACAACCATGAGGAATAGTTTTGTGAATGCATGGTCTCTGGCAGTTCTTGCTGGATGGCAAACCCGTGGTTTTTCAAAGCCAACTGGCCAATCAAGAGACAGCCCAAATGGGAAATGGCGACAGATCCTTTCACAGGAGCCTTGCAAGTGTCAAGCGGTCCTCTTTCGAGAGTGCAGATCAAACAAATCACATCCTGCATTCGATGAGGGGAAAGTGATTTGCCAGATTGACGGACTGGAGCTGTGCAGATTGGAGTGCTGGTGCTGTCTGTGGTGCTGTTTGATGGTGACGTCGCGGGCGCATTTTTGCGAGATTGACGGCTGGGTGCTCTGGGGGTCCTATTTGGGGATGCTTTTCGGGCTGATGGTGCGGGCGTTTTTACTTTGGGGTGCTTGTGCAGGTGCTGTTTTGGGATGCTTTTTGGGGAATTGTTTTGGGATGCTATTTGGGGTATTGCTGAGGCTGCTGGTGACAGTATGGGCGTATGTTGCAAGATTGACGACCAGGTGCTGTTTGGGGTGCTCTTCGGGGGGGTGCTGATAGAGGTGCTGGCGTGCAATCATCGGCGTGTTTGTCGCTTTCTAGGGTCTATGCTGGTGAAATGTATATATATATATATATATGCGTTAATATATATATATATAGATAGATTGATATATGTATATATATATATATATGTATTGTGTATCTGTGCGTGTGTGCGTGTGCGTGTGACTCTATGTGCGACGCCAAATGGCAGAGTTTCTTGTGTGCTCAAACGAAACCCCTCAACACTGTGTCATGCTGCAGTCCTTTTGGAGCCACAGCCCACCCTCCAACAGTATGGTTGCTGTCCACAATGTGTTGTTGTTTGGGGAGTCCATACCAGGGTGAGAGTGGTGATTGCATTGGAAGGAGGTGCTTTTCATCTTTTACATCTTGGGTAGTGGGTCGTCAAAGGCTACGTGCCAATCATCTGCACATCAATCGACGCTCCTCGGCCGCTGGATTGGGCTTGTACTCGCCCTTGGTGATCGACTGCAGGATTCCTCCGGTCGCGCCCGAAGAAGGCAAAAAGAGACGACTGCCATGGGCTTGAAAACGGGGCAGTCTTCTTTTTGGCAGAGGTTAAAATGGAGACTCCCAACAAAAAACATGACCCTGGAGATCTGGGGTTCTTTTCGCTTTCTGGTCCTTTTGCGTGTGCCTAAGAGAATCTGTGATTACTGCCATATCCTCCATATGAAAGCCGGTCAACTTCAACTTGTCTCAGCTCCATGGCTTGGCTTTCGCGAGCTTTCGCCACGGGCAAGTTAGCCTATCCTCATAGCCTCAGGGATCCTTACATTATACACCTGAACATTGCCTTGTAAATGGTGGTTTCGCTTTATTTTGGTGTTGCAAAAGCAACATGGTTCAAATGGTTGCCTTTTAAGGAGCCCTGTAGCCTCATAGCGTGCGGATTGTGACTGTCTCAACTCCTGGCAGGTAGGCCCGCCACACCTTGGCAATGCCTCTGTCTTACCCCGGGTCATGCCACCGTACATCGCCATTGGCACTGTGTGCGTCCACCCAAAGCCCGGCTGGAATAGAAGAAGAACAAGCAGGAGACAAAAGGCCCCCCTGCCCCCTAGAACTGGTTTAAGGGCTCTTGACGGATTCTGATAGAAGAAGAAGAAGAAAAAAAACGCAGCACCCCTCGCGAAGCCCACAGCCCCTCGCAGCCTGTCTTGTCGTCGGCGAGCCACGCGAGTCTCTCTATTGCGCGATACCGCAGGTCCTGCGGCGCCGAAGAGCGGTCTGGTTGATCCATATTCCCAATTTCGGGCCCCCAGTTTTGACCATGGGTCACCAAACCCCCATGTTGAAATCATGGCATTTTAGTGACCCCATGTGAGAAATAGTGCTCATTTTCGTGGATTTCCCATGGTCATCCCATGTTTACCGGACTTCTTGATCGACCGCCATATGTACGTCTCCCAGGTCTGTGCGTGTTTGGGGGGAGGGAATTGATGGGCTCAGAACGACCAGCATCCTACAAAATGCAAGCCTCACTGATGATGCGAGACATAGTTCTGGCGCTTAAGTGCTAGACTGTTTTTGGCTGTGTTCAGTGTGGTGAGAGTCTGTGTTCCTCTTTTAACACGCTGTTTTGGAATGTGTTGGTTAGCGATCAGGCGTCGGCATCTGTTTCTGTCCGGAGCACGTTGGAGAACCAAGCTCAGGTCTACATACAGTAACCCAACTGGCGCCAGCTCGGCTTTGTCTTTTGGTGTCAGGAAATTTTCTCGGCTTGGGCGTTCGGCTGTTTGAGGCTAGGCCGGATTGAGAGGTAGAGAACCAAGCTCCTGTGGAGAATCTGCTCGCCTCAGGCTCTGCAGTTGCCATAAACACGCAATGCGCTTTGGCATGTGCTTGCTTCCAGCAGGGTGAGTTAGTACTGTCGGTGTGCATCAGGTGCATCAGCTCTCGTACTGTCCGTTGCCCATGTAGACACGAAACACTCTGACTCATTCTCTCCAGTTAGAATGTGTCCAGCCGCTGCTCGCACAGGAAATACAGCGCGCAGTCGGTGAACGCATTGCCTCGGCAGAACGTGTCCAGAATTGGACGAAGGATCAAAGGCTGCCGAGCGTCAATCTGAGCTCTTGGGCACAGAATTGACATCGCGGAGTACTCGGCTTCAGCTGATTCGTCCAGAAGGCTCACCGCCGAGGCGGCAATGTTTCATGCAAACATGCAGGGAAATCATGGGGCGATTGCAGAACCTCCCCTGAAAAATCCCTGCCAAGCACCCAAACAAACTGCTCTTGATCAGGGTAGGTCCTTCAATAAATCGAACGCAAAAGTTTGGTCTAATGCAGCAATGAAGATGTACCTTGGACCAAACAGACTGAGAATTTTCGCCAGAACAAGTCCACGTGCTTCAATCCTGAAATGGGGACCACTTCTTCATTCAATGATCCTGGCTGATACACAGAGTCAACCAAAGCGGCTCATGCCTAACTCACCCCTCCACACAAGGGGGAACTCTAGGGGTTGGTTCCCCATTCTTTTCAACCATCCTTCTTTTTGTACACCAGATCCGTTTTCCGTTTTCCGGTTCCGGGTTTCTGGAGGTCTTCTACAGGCATAGGTCTCCTTTTGGAAAAATAGATGGCCCTGGTAAATGGAATAAACCCCATCTAAACCAGGGCCCTCTATGTTTTAAGCAAACTAACCTTATATAAATATATATATATATATATTTAAAAAAAAAAAAAAAAAAAAAAAAAAAAAAAAAATATGGGAACACGTCCTTTTTTTCAGGACATGGAACCCATGGGCCCCCCGGCAGTTCTTCCGCAGCAGGTCGTAGCTGCCCTCCTGGAAGTGCTCCTGGTGTAGCCCGATTCGTTTGAGAGCATCGGTTTTTTTCAGCAGACGGGTTCAAATAAGGGTGCCAACTATTTTTCGGGACGTTTGCTTTAGTAGAAGCAGGTTTTTTCAGTAGAGGTTCCTCTACAACTGGGGTGTTTTTTTGGCTCCAGTAGAGGGGTTTAGGGTTTAGGGATCTTTCGGGACGTTTGTTTTAGTAGGAACAGGTTCTTTCAGTAGAGGTTCCTCTACAAATGGGGTAGTTTTTTTTAGTGGGCTTCAGGTTGTTTCAGCCAATTTGGTCACCAAAACTAGGTCCTCCAGTAGAGGGGTTTAGGGTTTAAAAGTACCAAATATGTTCGTTTTTTTCAGTAGAGGTTCCTCTACAAATGAGGTTGTTTTTTGTGGTGGGCTTCAGGTTGTTTCAGCCATTTGGTCACAAAAACTAGGTCCTCCAGTAGAGGGGTTTAGGGTTTAGAGTACCAACTATTTTTCGGGACGCTTGTTTTAGTAGGAACCCTCCCAACCAAGAAAGGGGTGAGAAACGGCACTACTGGGAACATGAGCCAGTCTTCTCAACATGGCTCACTGTTGCTCGCTGGAAGGACTTATATACGGACCCTCGGGGTAAATTCACAGCAAACGCGCAGGTCTTCGCAGTTCCCGCCTGGACACCATGGGCCCAACTTTCAGCTTACTCAGAGCCCAACTCAGCTTCGAACAAAACAAACCAAAAAGCACGTCGAGCCTCAAATTCGCCATCTCCAGCCGCACTTTGCGAACATGCCCCCAAAATCCGTTGGCGACTTTGCCCGCTTTTCGCAAGAGGAACCCCCAAGAGGAACCGAGCCTCAAGAGGACGGCTTCCATTTACCCTCTTCAAGAACCAGCTTTCTACCCAAATTCCAAACCGATTCGGCTCCAAGCCACCCTTCTTGAGGCAAGCTTCCCCAAACCACCGGGCCACCGGCTCCACCGGAACCATCCGAGGAACCACCACCGAAGAAACGTAACCCACAACCCACCGCTTTCCCACAGCGCTCCGAGAAGAAGGCCAAGAGCTCCGCGCCGCTCCTGGCGATGCTACGTCTCGGCACGGCAAGGCCGTTGCGGTTTGTCCCCCAGGTTGCGGGGGCGTGAGTTTTTTGTTGTTCTTTTCGGGGAGGGAGGGGGGGGTCTCCTTGGAGGCACGCATCACCCGGGCGGGAAAAACGGCACAGGGAGGGGTCGGGGGATTTGTTATTTATCTATTTTTCGGTGATGAGGGGAAAAGTCATGCAATCCGAGAGATCACAAATTCTCTAAGAGAAAGAGGTTTGATTGGGAATGCGCGGCGTTCGTTTGGGATTGGATCATGATAAGGTCGCAAACTGGTCCCAAACAAGACAGAGCCACGGTTTGAACAACTCTCAACTAGAAAGAACATCCTCTCGTCGTGTGATCGGTGTTGGTCGAAATGAAAACCGACCAATTGGAGCATGCCAACATCTCCAGCCTGCTCTGAACCTGTCGAGGCCGCAGGTGACCAAACTCTAAGCGAACCAAACCAAATAGTGATGGCTCTTTCTCTTGAACCCAACAGGTGATGAGGCACCTGTCACAGGCAAGCCGTTCCTTTAACAAATCGCCGCGGGCGGTGGGCGTGTGAAGCCGAAATGGTGCACCGCATCCCTCAAGTTGCCACACCAACTTGTCCTCTGCGCAAGGCCAGATTGAGAGTACCGGCTTGGGATCTTGTGTTTAAGCCAGCCCAAATTGGGCATGCTGGCACCTCATTCCGTTAGTCGTGCCACCCTTGCCATCACTTTCGGGAAGGCTGTTCAAAAAGCAGGAAATTGCTGTGGGAGTGGAGAAGACCGCCCTACAGGCCAGGCCATTTCTGCGATACTTTGCATTAAAGCTCGCCCCACGAGGCGCACATCTCAGGGGGCACGGGAGCCGCCGCTTTTTTTCACCGCAGCGCGCAATCGAAGGGCACTCGCTCCAGTTGGCAGTCGTCCGCATCTTCGGGTACCTCGCTGCCTGGCGAACCGGCGGTCGCGCAAGCCGTGGGAGCGGATTGGCTTGACTGCAAGGCAAGAGTGAGCCCCGGATTGGATGAGCGGCGAATGAAAGCAAATAAAAAAAGTGAAATGTCAAAGGAGGCTGCATGGTTGACATCCAGCTGTTAGCCTCCTTTGCAACTGACGTGTTCTTTCCACATCTTCATCTGCTTTCATTTGCCATTCATCCAATCCGGGCTCACTCTGGACTTGCCAAAGTGGTCAAGCATGCTAGTTGTTTCCTTTCTGGCAATGGCATGGAAACCCAGTATATTCGAAACAGTTTGGGGCGCCTGCTACGCATGGATGCATGCGTAAAAGGATAGAAGCGATAGATGGCATACAGCAGGTAGACTCCCCATACCTGGGGCATCCATACATTCAAATGTCATATGTTTATCTCTCGAGATCGATCTCAATGCAAGGTATGTGAGATGCCACAGAAGCCCTGCTCAAGAGGGGATTGTCATACTTCCCTGAATGGGGTCATGTGGATGCGTATCAAAGTCCAACAGCGGCGTATTCCCCCACCCTGAAACATGCCAGACGAAACAGGTTTATCCTTCTTGACCGCAGCAGACACCTTGGACAGGAGACCTTTTCAAGAACGTGGTAGTAGTCCAAAATGGTGATGTCATCTTCCAATGATGCTGCTCGGCGCCAAACCAAAAGGCCGAACTTTCTTTCTACCCCCGTTCCAATGTTTTTTGGACAGGCAGAGGGGCTTGAAAAATACTACCAGGCCAAATTCACAATGACTCCCAAACCAAGATTCAAGGAACCCGGCAAGCCCAGTGCCGGGCAAGCCATAGGTAAGGGGAGCTAAGGATTCCTGGTTACCTACTACTCGAAGCACGACTTAGGGGTTTCTGCCCGGAGGCTTTGCCCTAAACGAACTTCCGGATCCTTTTTGGGCGCCTTGGGTGCCTTCCCCTCTTTTTCGCGCGGGATTGCGCGCATGGATCCTTTGGGGCTGCCGTGAGTCCCCTGGGACCCTGGGAACTGGAACTGGGAACTCTTCAGAAGCCTGGATGGAGCAGCAGCCGCTCCAAGGTACTGCGGTCCTATGCGCTTTGGGAAAAGGGACAGGCGGCACCAACCCGTCTTCTGTTTCTTGGAGAGGGGAACACCTTTCTTTTGGGCCACATGGAGGAAACACTGGCCCAACTGTGGTTGTGTTGAAGTGGGCTTGAACACAACCATGGCCGAGGCCAATTTGGATCACCCTAAACCAGCCCTAAACCTACCCGAGACCAACCCCAAGAAGCCCCACCATAAACCAGCACTAAACCGTCTACCTCAAGCACAGCCCCAAATTTGCTCTCAATAAGCCTGGAACCCACCCGGAGCCAAGCCTGAGCCAACCTGGAACCCACCCTAAACCTAGCCCATGGCGATGCTGAGGATGTTGAAAACGATGCTGAGGATGTTAAAACGATGCCGGGCCTCGACCTACCCTAAACGGACTACACTAAACCCACCCTAAACCTATCGTGAACCTCTCCCAAACCAACCAACCAACCAACCGACCGACCAACCAACCAACCAACCAATCAACCAACCATCCACCTGCCAGGGTTAGCCCTGTGCCAGGGCTAGGCCAAAAAAAGACACCTTTCCAGTTGAAAGTCATCTTCTCCGGGGACAAAAACAGATTGATATGTTCCCAAAACATGCACTACAAGCGCAATGTTGCCGGGCAACTTCAGCAAGCTAGATGCAAATGAGACTCCTCTGGGTCCAGCACTTCATTCAGAGCTTGCTTGTCTTTGCCTCAGTTGGGTTGCAACTCCGCTTTGGCACGCCGCTATTGCCTGGAAGAAGCGGATTCCATGTTAGCTCTGTGAGGCCAGCATTTATGATTGTTTCGCTCTGAACGACAAAATAACGGACATGGACAAGAGAGCACTCCCAAATCCTGTTCTGGTCAAGATCTCTAGAACGCATGGTGTGTGATTCGATATTTATGTACCTATGTGAACATGTGTGTCGATCATACTTGTGTATATACAATTATATATATATATATGTTGAATCAGTTTCATGATTTGTCACAACACAATTAATACACATTATAATGGTGATATAGCAACTGAGACGTGAACGGATAGTTCAATGCAATGTTTAGTCACGTATCTAAATGCTTTATGTCAAACAAATGGTAAAGATATTGTTCCAGGAAGGCGATGAAACTGCTTGAGAAGATACCCACGGTTAAACCTAACAAATGACATGGTTTACAAACATGAAGTGATAACTTGACTAATCACATATGTTTGCCTGTGTATAGAGTATGTATATATTCTCTATTGTGTGCAATGTGTTTAAGCAGACACGGCATGTAGCAGATCTGAGTAGCCGGGCCATTGATCTTCCTCTCCGCCATCTCCCGGAAGACATTTGCGATGCCACGAGGCATCTGCCAGGGATGCTCCTTTCGGATTCCAACCTGGAAGCAGAGGGGGGGTGGTCGACCGGGCGGCCACTTGGACTCTGGTCCGGATGCTCGGGCTACTGGCACCGGTGCCAGGAAATCAGAGATGGCTGAAGCAAACAGGCCATCGAATGCTGCAATTCGTCAATTCGTGCACATGTGAGGCGGCACGGGATTTCGGCGTTCATGCCTCAAGAAAGTGTCTGCACACCTCAAAAAGATTGGAACAGGCTGCCAGCTGTCCCACCTTCCAATATGGGCGAATGTTCACCTTGGTCCGATGGTCCCCGATTGTGACAGTCGATATAGCCACATTTAGACACATCACGAGTTGCCGCCGTCGGCAGAGTGTGAAAAATACATGGAGGACCCCCATGCTCCCAATAAACCAAGTTGAATCATAGAAACCTTAAGGCCACCCAGAGGGAAATCAGTTAATGTAAAGGGGGATCAAGTTGCTGGATGGGATGGAGAGGTTGTTCTTCAAACACAACAAGTGTTCTATGACTCCCCCAAAGGGAAGCACGCAAACAAGTTTCACCGCGGACAAGATCCTGGTTTCCCCAAGAGGACATGCCATAACTTTCCCTGTTGGGAGGCGCTAAAGTCCATCGCTAAGCATCTTGCCAGCTGCTGTGGAAGAACAACTGCGGCAAGGCAGCCCCCACATAAATTGGGTGAACCCTCTGTTGGAAAGTGGTGCTTATCGCTAAAACAAACGGCTGTGGCTCAAAAAACCGGCACAAAATGGGTTTCCCTTGTAAGTGGAAACGTGGACCAAAACCTGCGTATATCACCCCTCCTGTTTAGTTTTGAGCCACGCCCGAATGTCAGCTGCTGAAGTCCACCCACAGCAGCGCGCCTCGAAAAGGAAGCCATCCATGTCCAACTCCCGAAAGCCGGGATGCTGCCAGGTCTCATGGATCTTGCCTACGACGGTCCAGGGAACAGGGTGGTGGAAGCCCAGCTGTGAGGTCAGAAACAAAACCTGGCGGTGGTTCTAAATTTGCTTGTCTCGAAACGGCCCGTTCTTCGCGATACAAAAGTGACTTTCGCGAAGCTTGCGCGGATTCACCGCACCGCATTTTTCAGTGTTCAAGCCAGAAAGTCGCAGCTTTTAGGTACCAGCTTAGTGCGCGAAGTAAGCTTCCTCAACTCCAGCTGTAAAGTCGCAACTTTTCATCACAGGAGTAGTACATGACATGCACTTCCACAGGCGCCCCCGCTGGAAAGTCGCAACATTCAATACCAGTACACAAAATGCACTTCCGCAGTCCCAGCAGGTAAGCCGCACAGCTCCAGCTGGATGTCGCAACTGTTCAGCACCAAGCTAGCACACTGACTAGCGCGGCGCTCAGAAAGTACCTCCCCTTGCAATCGAAGCCTGCGTTTTCGCGCGGGCTTTCGCAGAACTTTCGCGTAACATCACCCACGTTTTTAAAGCCACCGACTAACACCCACTCACTTGGAGCACTAAAGGGTATCAAGCTGTAGCCTCACCAGGCTTTATCGGGGGAAATCAACGAAAGGAATTAATCAGCTTAGAAGGAAGACTCAGCCACATACCACTGATTTACAAGATGCAGTTACGCAATACT